TTAATTTTAATCTTCATTTTTTGTCAACAGTTTCGCTCGCCATGAAACCTTTTGTCTGCCTATCAGAATGTACAAAAGTTAATTTTCTGCAACACCGAGGCGTGTATTTGTCAAAACTAAATCACGGAATAATGCGCAGGTTGAAGCGACAGTACTCATCTTGCAGGAGTCCTAAAGTTGGTTTGATTTTCAGGCAGTTACACTTTCAAAATTGCTTTTGGTCGCGAAATCGGTGGAATCATTAAAATATAAAAATATTACTTACGGTTGAAGCGTACGACGTAGCGAAGGTTACCACAGTAGCGAAAATGTCAAATTCGTCTTCTGCAAGTTTACCTTCCCTACGCAACTGTCTCCTTTTCTGCAAATAACCCGGTAATATGTAGTGAGGATGAGACAAGAAAGTTTAAGGCTAAAAATCTAACCTTTTTTCTTCTGAAGTAAAATAAGGTCGTTAAAACAATCATAGCTGCACAATACGCGAATGTGGCAGAAACGGCTAGGTACAAAATTTTCTTTTGGTCTGTTACATCTGAAGTATTTGAAATGTTAAAGTCGAGATACAAGCAAGTAAAACGTGATTAACGACAATTGTGTTTAACCTCCATGAAAAGTCACGACACAAAACAACTTATTTGCTCTGCATACCTCGTTCAAGTGTCATAGCGTGGTTTTTGACCTCATCGGTTACCGTTTAAGCGTCATACCCTCAAATTTTGCGGATGCAAAGGGGTCGGTGGCATTTAAACAGCTTGCGGCTCCTAAGCACACGGAAAACAGGTGTTTTCAGCTTAAGAAACGACTGAAATTGCAATCCCTCAGCGAAACAGAACTTCGGAACGTTTAGATAACGGTGTCTTCAATATTGCAGTGCAAGGCCACATTCCGAACACCGTTTCTTCACTATGCTTGTGGTTCAGATGTCATAAACAAAGAACACATGATGTTGATGACAATATCTACATTTCGCAGAGCCTACAGTACGCAATTCCGTATGTTCTGCCCCGCAGTATTGCTCATTTATCTACCTTAAAAGGATAAT